AGAGGAGGAATTGATGGAGGCATGCAATCATATAGGGAAAAATAAGGCGCCGGGATTGGATAGAATTCTAAACATTGCTTTAAAAACATCTATTAAAGCAGCGCCGGCATTATTAATAGATACCTACAATGCGTGTCTCAAGAAAGGAGTCTTTCCTGAAAGGTGGAAGCGGCAAAGACTTGTACTGCTCCCGAAAGGGCAGAAGCCATCTGACGAACCATCATCTTACCGTCCACTCTGCATGTAAGACACGGCGGGTAAGATATCAGAGCGGATAATTCACCAGAGAATAGAAGCAGTAGTTGATCCACTCCTGGCAGACAACCAATTTGGTTTCCGAAAAGGACGGTCAACCCTGGATGCAATCAACCTGGACGTCAACACAGCTAAGGATGCGATTGCTGGAAAGAGATGGAATCTCGGCACAAAAAAGTATTGTTTGGTGGCTGCATTAGACATCAAAAATGTTTTCAACTCTGCTAACTGGGACTGCGTAATGCGCGCCCTCGAAGAGAAACGAGTTCCAGGGTATTTCCGTAGAATGGTAGCAAGCTACTTCACAAACAGAGTCCTAAAATATGACACAAAAAGTGGTCCTAAGGAGTATGATATTACTGGTGGTGTACCACAGGACTCAGTTCTAGGCCCTCTGCTATGGAACATCATGTATGATGGTCTCCTGAAAATAGCATTGCCAGCAAAAATAAAACTGGTAGCATATGCAGATGATGTTGCCGTGGTGATTGTCGCGAAGCATCTCGAAGAGATAAATCTGGCCTTCGACATTACATTTAGACGGATTAACTTATTGATGGATAAGGTGAACTTGCAATTAGCTAAGCATAAAACCGAAGCAGTGCTCATTACCAGCAGGAAAGCAATGGAAACCATCAAGTTACAGGTTGGAGAACATGAGATCACATCACAACCGTACATTCGGTACCTGGGAGTGATGCTTGATGCTCGACTCAATTTCAAGCAACAAGTCGAACATGTGACCTTCAAAGCATAACTAGTTAGAGCGAGCCTAGCACGACTGATGCCTAACGTTGATGGACCAAAGCAGAGCAGAAGACTACTGCTGTCATCAGTAGTAACATCCGTGCTCACATATGGTATATCCATTTATGCTGACGCATAAGAGACGCAAGAATCATGGAAAAAAGCGGGTCCAATTTATAGACAGAGCGCTCTGAGAGTTGCCAGTGCCTTCCGCACAATATCAGAAGAAGCAGTGTGCGTCATTGCCGGAACCCTACCGCTTAGAGTACTAGCAGAGGAAATACAGGCCCTTTACCAACGAAAAAGGTCAACTGCACTGAGCCCTGAAGAACTTACAACAGAAGAACGGCAGCACAGCATCTCCCGATGGCAACTTGAGTGGGACGCCACAGTAAAAGGAAAATGAACACACCGCCTCATACCAAAGATCGATGTTTGGCTGAGCCAAAACCATAGCGAAGTCAACTATTACCTAACGCAGATTTTGTCAGGACATGGGTGCTTTTGAGAGTACCTGCACCGCTTTAAGCACGACGATTCTCCGGCATGCCCGTCTTGTCCAGGGATTATTGAGGACGCAGAGCACGTTTTCTTTGTGTGTACACGTTTTGATCCTCACCGAAAGGAGTTAGAAAGGATCCTGAACCGGAGAATCCAACCAGAGACAATAGTAGAGGCAATGTTGTCGAGTCAAACTGCTTGGAACGCTACAACCACTTTTGCCACAGAAGTCCTTACAGAGCTGCGTTCCATTGAAAGAAAAAGAGCGAATGATAGAAACTGGAAGGAAGGAAAAATAACACCTTAGCCACCAGACGGAAGAGCAGTAGCTAGATCCTCCCTTCACGAAGTAATGCCTGACGGCAGTTTCCATGAGGGACTAGAGGAAAGAAGGAAAAAGGGGTTTAGGGTTTAGTGGGTAGGGGCGTTAGCGTCGAGTTTTAGGGTGACGCTGCGTCGAGTCGCCGAATAGCCAGGCCTAACAGCTATGCCTGGAATCCGTAAAAAGGAATCCTCCCCAAGGAAGGAAGAGAAAAAAAAAAGAACACACACACACTCACACACACACACACACACACACACACACACACACACACACACACACACACACACACACACACACACACACACACACACACACACACACACACACACGTAC